ACACACTGATAATACCTTGTAGGGTGTCTTTAAATGCTGGGAGTTGTAGTTCTCTCTAGGTTATTGAAGTGCAGGCTGCCTACTTGCTAGGAGTTGTAGTTGTCTTGGTTGGAGGATGTTTGCCCAAATTCAACTGCAAATAGAACTTTTGATGACTTCTGTGGAATGTTTCCTCTCCATGGCGGCATCTTTAGTACTTCGTAGTAGAGCTCCGTCTGTGAGCGCGATGTGCAGCCCGACACCGGCTCCTGGGAGCGTTCCTCGAGAACCTCAGTGACTACAAGCGCGGTGCCGCGATAGGTTGTCACCTGCGCGATAAGTCCGTCCGTGGACATTTCCCGGCTACTAAATATTCCGCCGCGGTCGCCTGTTACTGGGATTATAACAAAGTGGAAGCGACCGGGAACAACAGCAACTCAGCCAGGAAGTGGTCGGCCGCGTCACATGACAGGGCGGGGTCGGCGCGTGCTGAAGCGCACAGCGCGCAGAAGTCGCCGACTGTCTGCAGAGCCAATAGCTACAGACCTCCAAACTCCATGCGGCCGTCAGATCGGCACAACAACAGTGCGTAGAGAGCGTCATGGAATGGGATATGTGCGTGTAAAGGCGTCCCAATACTAATGGCTATATAGTGTGTATATATATGTCGGTGTATGGGGTATATATTATAGATATCGGTGTATGAGGTATATATCTGTGTATTGGGTATATGTTGCATATATATCGGTGTTAGGGGTATATATCAGTGTATGGGGTATATATCAGTGTATGGGGTATATGTTACATATATATCGGTGTTAGGGGTATATATGATAGATATTGGTGTATATGGGTACATGTTATACACTGTGACGAGATTTTTGTACATGTTATACACTGTGAGGAGATTTTAGAAGACATCGGAGGAAGCCACCTGTAGGCCTCAGGCCTCCACAGTAGGTTTGTTTAGTTTTGGGTGTAGTGAGGCTTGGTGGGGGGGGTCACATGACCCCTTCCCCAGTTCTCCCTGTGAGGTAGCCATGACAACCCCTCAGAATCCTCGCAGAGGCCTGATTGCCGTAAAGTGACTTTATGACGGTTATCATAGTTTACCGCAGGTAGGAATGGGCCCGTCCCTGAGCCCCGCCCACTCCCTGGCCGTCCGTAGAGAACCTCTAAGGATCTCGGTGAGAAAATTCCTTCGGAGCGCTTCGGGCTCTCCTCATATACCCGCCGATAGGCCAAACCCCTCCCACTGCGCACACAGCCCCGCCTCCTTCTCCGGTCAGAGGCTGATCGAGCAGTGCCGGTGGGAAGGTAGGCGTGTCAGGGGAGGGGCGGAGCAGGCGGGCTGAGCGGACGGATCCAGCTGATGGCAGAGTGAGGGGGGAGTTCGGCCTGACACTGAGGAGGAGAGAGGAGAGCCGAGGAGAGAGCGGAGACCCACCGTGGAGAGGTGAGAGAAGAGCCGGAGACAGAGAGGGGACACCCCGGGGTAGGGGAGAGCGGCCTGTGTGTGTATCCGTCCTCTCCGGGGTGCAGTGTGTGAGGGGAACGGGGTTGCTGTGTGGAGAGGCCCCGACATTGTAGACGTTGTATATACAGAGAGCCCGCCGTATACCGGGGTATATACCATGTGAGCTGTGACGTCCCCACATCTGTATCGTGTACATAGAGGCGATCGATCAGAATCTGGAGCTGTTTTCCATGGCAACCAATCCGCTTCTCTCAGATTCTTTAGTGAAGCTTTAAAAAATGAACAGAATTGTGTGCTATGGACCCCCCATCCCCCCCACAGACACCTGACTGGCTGATGGCCTCCATTGGCCGGCCGTTCTGACACTTGTAGTTCCTGCGGGTGGATTGTTTGGCTCTGGCTGGGGTGTACCGGGGCAGATTCCTGGGG